GAAAAAAAGGTGTGTTTTGCTTGCATTTGTACTTAGGCCGAGAAGCATGTACTGGTTGCTTTATTATTCAGCCACTACAGTTTAGTAGCCATATCAATAGTTGGCCTTTGCTACATAATAAGACAATGCTTTTAAGTAGTATATGTTTGATGGTAACTTCAGCCACTAAGTTTGGTAAGGAGACAACGTTAACTTCTTAATCCCATGCCATCCGATTTACCAAGGGTAGATTTCAACTCCTTAATCAATTTATGCCAGATCGGTTTCTGCGTCAGCCGCCTTGATGCTCCAGCTCTCGGTAGTTATACTACTCGTGTTGATTTGAGTAGTTCTAATTTACCTATTAAATTCTCTCCACTTTGAGCTTTCTTGCTTTTTTGATGGAAAAAAATTTGTTATCGCCACAAACAGGAGCTTAAAGTGTTAAGCCTCATCCTGTAAGCTATCTATGCGTCTTAAATTAATGGTGCTGTTTCCTAGGTGAAAGGTGAAGTGCTCGCCCCCCGACTCATATGGTCTATTTTCAGTTCTGATTCTGTTTTATAATGAAGTTGGTAACGATTACTTTTTTTTTTGTACTTACAATTTTGCGCATTTTTCCTTGTAAAGGTTCAGCTCTTTGCGGAATACTCCTATTCAAGCACTAATCTACTACTCTTCTGAGTCTCTTATTTTGCTTTGGTATCAAAGCGGGCAAGGGCTAACTTTTCTTGGTGTATGCAGATGATAGTTTATTATTCGTCTCGCCATTAACCAACTATTTAGTACTATCCTTAAAGTTTTGGAGATAATCGCCTAAATTGTCACGAAATATTACATGTTTCATGGCCCCAAAATGAATAATTTTGCAAAAGCTTAAAATTACCAACTAACAGGGCGCCCAGTTAGAATTGAAATGACATTATTACTTCAAAAACTATGCCGGAATTTCAACTAAAAACCTTTTTTTTTCCTCATACCTCAGGCGATGCAGTAACCGCGATTACAAATCGTCTTTTTCAACGCCTCGACACAATTAATCCGTCTGCAGATGATAAGTGTGGTCCATCGAGTCTATTCCAACCTGAGCTAGCCAAGGTAAAACGAGTGAGTCTATTGTATTTAACTTCATTTGGCTTTGTTAAATTGTTAGAAAATTTTCGGGTTTGGCAATTTCACATTATATCGTCCTTTGTGTAATAGCTCCTTAGATGTCCAAATCTTGGGCATTAGCTGCTAGGATGTAATGGATTACAAGACGAAAAAAGACTCGGTAGGGCTAACCTTGATGAGAGGCGTAATTTATCACATCGCCTAGACATTTGTCTTGGAAATACTTGGTTTCACTCCATCTCAAGCGCTCTAAAGTGTGCTAGCAAAGTGTTGGTTATGTAACACGAACTATTGAAGGGCTGGTGATAGAGTCTATTATCATGGAATTGTGTATAACACATGAATGCGGTTGTAAATCTATGCTCTACAAAATTGTCATTTATGTGTATTATTTGGAAAACGTTGACATTTGAATGTTTTCTTAAACATTTTGCATAAACTCCCTCAATGACCACATTTAAGCAAACATGTATTCCTGCCATATGAAG